AGCGTTGACGTTTTAGCACGCGCAGGCGTGGGTTAGACCATGCAGGCTTTAGCGGAGGTCGTCGAGCTGGGACAATGCGGAAAATAGCATCTTCCAGTGCAGCACTGAAAAAATCCACAGCATCATTCACGCTAGCGGCTGTTTCGATAACTTGCCAATCAATTTCCGAAAGCGCATTGTTCAATGCAACATAATCGGTCCGGCGAAAGTCCAAAGAGTAGCACTCAGATGACGGCGTGAAAAGAATCGGAGTAGGTAAACTAAATGACACGACGAGAGCGGGATGATGGGCATCTAGATCAATCAGTGGCTCGACCGGCCAGGAAACAGAAGTGCCCGGTAGTGTGGAATCATTTGCCAGGACAAGATCTAGCAAACGTCCATTTCGGTTCGGAAAAGTATTCACTTGTGTGAACCCGTAAAAGTTAAAACCGTCCAAAAGAGCACAGCAATCAACCGGCATATGTGAAAGCAGTGGATCAATTAATGGTGTGCCACTGGCTGTCAAGCGCCACTGCAGACCAGCTTGATTGTAGTCACCAAATACGAAAGCGGGAGAACAGGGACTTAATTGTGACGAAATTGAGCCTAACGATTCCACATGCTCACGGATGATCGTGCAGTCGTTTTTGCGGTCGGGAGGCAGGTAGATTGCGCCTACACTAAGCTTGCTTTGTGGAAGTTCTACGACAATGACTGGAAATGGGTGACGTATTTACGTAGCTGGCTAGTCTCGTAGATACTGCAATCAGGACTCCACCACCGCGCGATTTTTGACTGTTTAGGGCAGACCGGTCAGCCACGTTTCCGTCAGCACAATCAAATCATATTCGGCCTCCGCAACAGCCAGGAAAAACGATTCGATTTTAGTCCTCAGCCCACGCACGTTTTGGTAGTAGATCCGGAGACCATTCGAGGAGCAATCACGGGAACTAGAAATCAAAAGGACATCAGGTACCGAAAGCTCGGAATCGCTAACATACTCGCCAGAGGTTGCAGGCCGGAAGCCCCCGATACCATCACCGACCACAGGACCGGGACGATGGCGATAGCGGATGTCTGCAGCAAGCGCGACTGGGTCGGGAGGTTCGGAAGCCTCCTCAGTGCCTGTTTTAGGGTGTCCCGGATCCGAGGAAGAGCAGGTGGCGGCATAAACCTGCTGGCAGTTGGCAGGACGGATGCATGGACATGATGTGGCTAGTGTGGAGGTCGCAGAACCAGAAACACAGCTAGAAGTTGAAGCGGTATCAGGCAAAGGAGAGGCTGAATCGTCAATATATTTGCCAGTAATAGCTGGTTGGAAGACCTCCGACCTACATCTACACTCAGGGCCGAGACGACTATGCAGAGCGCTGGCTGGAATAAGCGCGACTGAGGCAGAGAAATCAGGGGCTTCCACAGTGCTAACCACGATGCGTCTCGGTGGTGATGGTGGTGGTCCATTCCTTGGAAATCGTGGAAACATCTACGGTGTGTTCCGGATGAGCAGATGGACCATTCGGGGATAACGAAGACGCATCGTTTAGCCTCGAAGGATTCGGGAGTACCTGCTCAACATTTTTCCATGAATCGTTCTCGATGGCCATTGCCTCCAACCCGCTACGGACAGCTACAAGGACTCCTCCACCAGTATATTTACTGGAAATCACAGATACATCAGGCAATAACTGACCATCATCGAGTCTGATTGAATACTCGCCAATGTGGGTGGGTTGGAAGACCCCCTCTCCACATCCGACAGCAGGTCCGGAACGACTATGGCGAACGAAGGCTGCTGATGGCAGGACTGAGGCGGTGGGATTGGGGGCTTCCAAGAAGCTTTCTACGGTGCGTTCCGGGTTCCCAGGATTGGGTGTTACAGAGACATCATCACAATGACTAACATAGTCCGAATTGCTGAAAATTTGATCGGCATCAGGCAGTGAATTGTCAATATATTGATTGTGCTTGCCTGTAGAAGCAAGCTGGAAGACTCCTGATCCTTATCCATCCATATGGCCAGGACGACTATGCTGAGTGCTAGCAGGAATCGGCACGACTGGGCTGAAGGAACCAGGAGCTTCCAAAAGGCGGTCATAAGTGCTTCTCAACTGGAAACAGCCGGCAGGTGCTTGAAGCGTTGCACTGGAACACGGAAACTGATCAGGCAAATGACTGTAACTAATGTATGCATACTTGCCTGACGACGGTGCTTGGGAGACCCCACCACCGAACTCGACCGCAGGGCCAGAATGACTCTGATGGCAGGAAATAGAACGACTTTGATGGCGGGAAACAGCTAGCGCGACTGGATCGAGTGGTTCGAGGTCTCCCATAATGCGATAGGCAGTGCGTTCTGGTCTACAGCGCTTCAATTCACAACGAAAAATCCAATTCTGAATCAGCAGACTAGGTCTAGTCCGGAAATGGGAGTTGAGAACTCGGAAGGTCCCGGAATAGGAGAGATCGTGATGGTAGGCGTGTTTTTTGAACCGTCTTCAAATTCACGGAACAAAATTCCTTTCGGCCATGTATCCGATCTAAGAGCAGCTTCGCGTAGTTTGGGATCCATTCCGACTTTGCACGAGATGAAGCTCATACGGCTGATGTCGAATCCTTTTTTGACTAGCGGCACAACCTTAATCGGATCTTCGCACTGTACAAAACCATTGACCAGTTTCTCGATTGAAACCGATTTCACACTAGGATGAATACGAGAAAGGTACAGCCAAAACAGCTCGGTGGGTTCAGGGACAGTAAGGACCTCGGTAAAGGCATTGTCGCCTGTTACTGCTTTAGAACCACCAACAAGTGGTTTGCTAGTGAGCGAGCCTTCATCGCGGCGCCGTTTTAATGGCAGTTGACGCATGAAATCGGAGTTTGTCGGAGTTGTCAATGCGATTCGTTTCGATAGCTGAGCGATCTGCTGTTCTTGCTTAGCCATGGAAATTCGTCAATAAAAAGGTGTGGAATTGTATTACCATAGGGTATCAGTATTCTTCTTTGATTTAACTGTAGTAATTAATCATTTTGTTCGACCATTTTCCACAGAGATGGCGCTGTTTCGCTGGTAGGAAGTGATAAAAATCCCCATATAGAAATTGAGAGAAGTGCGAATAATTCGCCTCCGGTGCATATTCAGGTCAAAAAAAGTGAACGACAACCTAAAGAAATTAGTCAGGGGCTTTGTCGTTCAGTTTTTTCCCGCAAATTAATGCTCAACAAGCTACAATTAAATAAAAATTATTTTTCCCCATACAATTTTACCTGCTTTACTACCAGTCCCCAGAGAGCCAAAAAACTTCAAATTTGAGAGAGAAATTCTCTCTCACGAGCTCAATCTCTCAACATGCCATGTATTTTGTTGACACTCAATTTGTGATTTCCCTTTCACATATTACAAAATAGAGTACCTGACACTATAAAACATGTCTGGTACCTCTATATATGCATTTGCTTTAACATTTGAAGTCCCTCCTTTTTTACATATTCTGAGCAAAAGATACTTTATGCCCCGCCCCATACATAAAATTCGGCGGGAAATTATGTGAGGGGTGAGCTATTTTGTGTGCAGAATGTGTAAAAAAGGAGGGACTTCGAATAATAATCTAAATGCATATATAGAGGTACCAGACATATTTTGCACTGCAGTGTCCTCTGTGAACAATTATAGTAAAACAGATTGTGTCTAGTTTCCGATTGATGTCACCGCAAACAACAGCTGTGACATCTGATGGAACATGAATGCAGAAGCTTGACAAAATGATTAATTGAAAGATAAAATCGACGAAAATAATCAATCATCGCAGTTTGACCCTTGTGATTCTGAACACTAGTCTTATCACTTTGCATGTTTGATATCACAATTATCAATATCCATAATTTTAGGTGGTGTACAAATCATGTCGCTACGTTGCATGTGAGCAAATTAAAATTCAGGAACAACATGTGAAAAGGGCATAAAGCTTTTTGTAAACAAACCTTCATATGCCCTTTTCTCGCCACTCATATGACACCAACGCAAACCATTAACATTAGCGGGTAGGGGAAGCTTTCCCCTTCCCGATGATGTTGTTCGTTTGCGTGAGTGACCGTCGGTTGGCGAGAAAAGGGCCTACAAAGGTTGTTTACAAAAAGATTGTATGCCCTTTTCACATTTGGATCTTGAATTGGCTTTTCCCATAAGAGTGAGGAATTCGCCGTAAGTGGAAAATTAAACATAGCGACATTCATCTTTAGTCATGAAGTATTGTGAACCACACATAAAATCATCCTGTACTATTCATTCTTTACCATTATAAGCTAAATTTAGTCTGTTTTCCTTGGCTGTAAATACCAACTTTCCATTTCTTCCTTTCTCATTTCCTTCATCTCTCGGTGCCATCAAAAATACACGAAAAACCAAATCCAATCTGACAGCGAAAAATTCAAAATTCGGTCCATGTGAGTATGACAAAAAAAACGGGATGCACGTTGCACTGCGCCCTCTGGCGATTGGTTGTAATTAATTGTATTATAAAATTGTGCTTGTCGCATTTCTTGGCGTCTTTCTTGCAATCGATTTTTTGTTTTGTTAGTCCTAACTGAATCTGTTAAAAATTGGTTGCGAGAAAGCTTCAATTGGTTCAACAATTGGATTATGATTGGCTTACTTACACATGCTTCTATCTCTGTCGATTTCTACACTCGTCTCCTATGTCTCTTGTTTTGTTCCCTACTAAAACAAACATTGCTTTGGCATAATTTGGTTTGCTTTCAATTTCCTACAACAACAAAAAACATTAATACACCTACATATATGTTATGTTCGATGTTTTGACGTCCATATTGTAAAACAGATCGTAGTAGTCGTTGAAAATGCGCTCATCGGAGAAGGATTCTAGCGAGTGAGTCAACAAATCAGCATGTTGCATGTGCTGTCATGTGTTCTATGTGTATGCATGCGATTTCAAATGTGTTATTTCTTAATCAAAAAAGCTTTTATAAAAAAAAAAACCATTCTTTTTTCTTCCCCACAAAAGGCACAAACTCAAATATTCAAGGAACGGATAGCCGATCTCGAGAAGCAACTGGGTGAAAATGGAACCATTTCACGAGCCGAACCGGACCTTCCGGCCAAGGATACAGGTAAGTGTGTTCATAACCTCTCTTTTACACCTGTTAACAATTTGTCTGTCGATATCCAGTGGATGTCACGTCCCAGCTGAAGCTCGAAATCGACAAGCTCAAAGCGGAGATCCTCCAGCGAGACCAGAAGCTTCACCTGACTGAGGAGCTCAAGCAATCCTTGGAGAATGAAATCTCGAAGCTGCACGAACGGTTGGCCGAGACGGAGAAGAATCTGGACATTAAGGACTCGAGCTACAACATCAGCGAGCAGTGTCTGAAAGAGAAGATTGCCTACCTGGAAGACCGGATCGATGGGCTGGGTGTGGAGCTGACGGCCAAGGATGCGGAGCTCGAGAAGCAATACCTGGAGCTGAAGAATGCCGAGGGGCAGCTGGATGAAGAGGTGTCTCAGCTGCAAAGTAACTTGCGCAGCAAGGAAGAGCTGGTCAGTGAGAAGGAGAAACACATCACGAAGCTGACGGGTGAAATTCAGGGACTGCTAAATGACATCAGGCAACGGGATGTAAAGTTGCTGGAAGGAGAGAGTGGTTTGAAAGCGGTGTTGGAGGAAAAGGACGGGGCAATTGGAAAGCTTAAGAAAGAATTGGATGAGCTGAAGTTGACCGAAGTGAGTGCGAAAGAGGCGGTTGATGAAAGGAACAGGAAGCTTGCTGATCTCAACAGCAGAATCGTAGAGAGTGAAGAGCTCGTGAGAAAGCTAGAAGAGAGTCTAAAAGATTCGAAGAAGAGCGAGCAAACACTCGAAGAAGCGATTAAGGGTAGAGAAAAGCAGTTGGAAGAGAAGCAATCTCTGCTGGCTAAGATCCAGGATGATCTGAAGAACAGGTCGGCGGGAAGTGAACAGCAGTCGGTATTGCTGCGATCGAAAGAAACCGAATTGGAACAGAAGCAACACGAAGTTGAGGAAAAGCAGTACCAGATCACAAGCTTGGAGACTACCGTTGCTGAGTTGTCCAAGAAGCTGGAAGACACCATCGAAGACAAGGAAGCACGCCTTGCAGAGCAGCGAGCGAGCTTGGAGTTTGAAACGAAATCCAAGGAGGATTTGCTCAAAAAGCTTACCAACTATGAGACTGAACATCTTGCCAAAGACAAGCAGCTGGAGGAGAACGAAGTGCTCATCAGTGCGCTTCAGGGTGAACTGAAGGAACTCAACGTGGCCAAAGCAAATGTCGCACAAGAGCTGGAGGATACTACGAAGCGGTTTGCCGACCGGGACGGCACCTTAGGTAAACTCAATGAAGAGCGAATGCACTTGAGTGAGCAGCTGGACAAGCTGAAGAAGGAATCAGCTTCGGCAATTACCCTACTCGAGGAGAGGCTTAAAAACGCACAAAAGATGCACGAGGAAGATGTGCAGAAGACTCAGGAAGCACACGAAAAAGACTTGGGCTCAAAGGATGCCCTCGCTGCCGAATTGGAAACTTCCTTGGACAAAATGCGCCAGGAGAAGGAAGCCTTACTGCTTCAGCTGAATCAGTCCGGCGCGACGCAGAAGACAACGAGCGACGAACTCGTCGCTAAGCTCAACGAAAACCAAGAACTGAGTAAGCAAATCGAATCGCTCAAAACGCAGCTTAATAGCAAGACCGAGAATGTCGACAAACTGAATCAGTCCCTGTCTAGCAGCTGTGGTAAGCTGGAGAACGCCGAAAAGAAGCTGATCGATCTGCAGGAGGCATTCGGTAAACTCGAGATCGAGCATGCGGATCTCAAGCGTAAGTTGGAAGCTCAGGAGCAAAAATCGTCGCAGCTTCAGCAGCAAAAGACCGATTTGGAAAGCGAAATCGACTCGCTGCGGTCGACGACCTTGGACTCCAATTCGGAGCTTTCCAAAGCATCCGATGAACTGAAGACGAAGCAGAAACTGCTAGACGAACTGCAAGATGCGTTCAATGGCAGTAAAATTGATATGCAACGAAGACTGGACGAGGCGAACCAGGTGACCCAGGGACTAAGCGAACAGATTGAGCGGTTGAGAAACGAAATGCAGCAGATTTCCAGTCAGAAGATCGATCGGGAGAATGAGTTGAACGTGGAACTAGCCAAGATCAAGGAGACGGCCGAGGTGGAGAAAGAGAACTTGGTGCGCGAGATTGCCGGGCTGAAGGCTAGTTTTGAGGAGGAGAAGAATCGCTTGATGCGGGAGGCGGAATCGAAGGCGGAGGAATTTGAGAAGATGAAAGGAGAGTTGGAAAGTGATGTTGTGCTTCAGCAGAAATTGGTCAGCAATTTGGAAGGTGAACTGGCGAAGAGTAGGGAACATGCGGCGAAGGAACGTGAGGAAGCTGAGGCAAAACTGAACGAGCAGGCGGAGAAGGAAGCGGCGCTGAGAAAACAGTTTGAAGAATTGACGACAGAGGAAAGTTCTCTGCGTGCATCGCTTGACGAATTGAGACAGTCGATGGAGAAGAGAAGTCACGATTCTTCGGCACAGCTGGATGCTAAGAATTCGAAAATTTCCGAATTGGAAAAAGAACTGCGATCGGTTCAGGAGGAGATGGCAAAGAAGCAAGAGCAATTCGCCGATTCTACGAAGCAACTGGAACAGAATGCAGAAACGCATTCGGAGCTGTTGAAGCAGCTTGGGGACTATCTCAGTCAGATTCAGGAGTTGAGCAGCGAGAAGGGACGGGTTGAGACGTCGTTCAAGGAGATTAGTGGAGAGCTGGCGTCGCTCAAGGAAAAGTATGATGAAATGGAAGAGGAACAGGTGGATTTGGTCAGCAGAAAAGAGGGGCTCAAGGAAGAAGTTAAGCAACTTAAGGAGTCGCTGGAACTTGTCGAGAAGGAAAGAAGCGAGTATCAGTCACAGCTGGAGACGATGAATCAAGGCTCGGCAAATATTGCAGAAGAACTAAAGGCAGTAAAGAGTCAACTAGAGCAGGAAACGGGTCGCTTGAACGAGTTAGTCGGGGAGAAAGATAAGGCGATTGAAGAATTTAAGTCGAAGATTGATGAGCTGTCGCCGTTGGTAAAACTCACCGAGGATCTTCATCAGCAAGTTCGTTCGAAGGAGTCACTGGTTGAGCAGCAAAAGGAAGAAGCCCAGAAACGATTGGCCGAGGTGGATAGTCTTCAGAATACGATCAAAGAAAGTGAATCCAGCTTGCAGGAGAAGGAAGCTGAGTTGAAGCAGGTTCGAGAAGATTTGTCACAGAAGCAAGATGAGATACGGCAGTTAGTAGGTAAACTTGAATCTACGGAGAAGTGCCTTAATGAAAGGAGTGAGCAAGTGGAAAAGACGGCAGCTACTGCAACTGGTTTGAGAGAAAAACTGGATGAATCCAAGGCAGCTGCCAAGGAGCAAGAGGATAAGCTGAAGGAACAAAACAGGAAGATCAACGAGCTGGAGACGAAACTGACCGCCCAGAGTACACAATTTGAAGAGCTTTTGAACAAGAAGAAAACTTCGGAGACGGAAAGTTCTCACAAGCTGCATGAAATGAACCAGAAACTACTGGAAATTGAAAGTATTAAACAACAGGAAATTTCTGAGCTGAGCACCAAGCTAGCGGAGACAATGAACCGGTTCGAAACACAGATGGTGGAATCGGCCAAGACGGTCGGAAGCATGCGATCCGTTGAGAAACGGCAGCATGAACTGGAATGCGAGAAAAAGGATATGGAGCTACGGGAAACCGAAATGCAGATCTCGAATCGAAAACTACAGAGGGAGGTTGAACTGCTGAGGTCGCAGATCCTGTCGAAGGACAGTGACATTCGGAAACTGTCACAAGAAGTGGCGAATGCTGCTTCGATGACGACGACAACTGCCGCTCTGGTAACGGGCGGCGAAGCGGACGAAGATGTTGGAGCACAGATCAACTTCCTCAATTCGATCATTGCCGACATGCAGCGGAAGAACGATAAGCTGACCCTGCGGATTCAGGCTCTGGAACAAACCAGCATTGAAGGTTCGAACAACACGAGCTTCGAATTCAGCAAGCGGAAACCGGCCCCGAGGGTATTCTGCGATATTTGCGACGAGTTTGATCTGCACGAAACGGAAGACTGTCCGAAGCAGTGCTCCGACAGTCCACCGGAATCACTGAAGCACCCGTCGGCGGAACCAAGGGAGCGCAAGATACCGGCACCGCGGAAGTACTGTGAAGGATGTGAAGGTGAGTACCACTACTTTGAAATCGATGCATTCTTGAAATTCAAAATCCTCTCTCATCTCGACAGTGTTTGACCACGAGTTGGGTGAATGTCCCGATGACGAGACGTACTAGGTGAGACCGCAGGGAAGGAGAAGCGAATGCGCATGCTTTGAAAATAGCTCTTCAATGCAACACTAATTTATTATTCTCAATTGCTATTAGCACGACAGCGGACTAACTCTACATTTGTGGTAGATCAGTTGTAAAACAGTTATCGTTCTCATTGTTTTAGGATCAAAGCAATAGTTTTCAAATTTACAACAAACTATTTATTTTAATGTGTAGTGTAGCGTTAAAGTCCAAGCGACGAAAAAAGCCAAATAGCAGATCGGCGAAAGAACAATAACAACCTACAAAAATGCATAAAAATCAAAGAAATTCACAGTAGATTTCCCTATCAGTGTGAATTTTTTTTTTTGACTTGTCTTTATTTCTGTTATATTTAAATATAGGTACACATACTATTATCGATAGTCGAGTTTAGATAGGGAAACAATACAAAATACTTTTAAAATTACACGATTAGTTTTCCCTCCTGGAAAATAATGAGAAACTAGTCGCCTCCCTCCTTCTTTTCTTTGTATGCCTCCCGGAAGCGTTCCTCGAACAGGGACAGTTCCGACAGCAAATCGGTGATTGCATTCATGAACGCTTCCTGGGGTGAGTAATCGGATGTGGTTTGAATCCGGATGACGAATTTATGCTCCAGCGGATGGGGAAGCTTGTAGCCGGCGAACAGTACATTGGGATCCTTCAGCAGTTGGCTGGGGGAAAATAAAAGAATTAATTGAACTACGATGACCTTAGCTCTAATATCTCCGGAAACCTACTTGCGGATCATGTTTCCAAGAGTGTGATCCTCCTTGTTTACGGTGAAGATAGCGGCGTTCGGCACTTTGGTGTCCAGTTCCTTGATGATTCTGTTGGTGCATTTTTTGGGGAAGCAAATGTTAGCGCCAGTAGTTTGGTTCCAAATTTGTTGTTGATACTTACTTTTTCTCTCCTTCGTACAGCAGGAACGATTCGAAGGTTGGTGGTGCGTTCATTTTGACCGCGTTCGATAGGTATTATGTAGTAATTTATTATTTAAAAAGAATTTACTCGGGAAATTGCGATTTATCTCGGTTGTTTCGATTATTATTTGCTTTTGCACCGCGAGCGTTTCTGTAGAGAACTGTCAAAAATAACAACGGGTGAGTTCAATGAGTGCGACATGCGGGGATGCTAGCCGTTTTATTTGTGTTCAGCACAGAAAAACAAAACTACCCACCGCTTGAGTTTTTTAAACTCAAATTTGAGTTATTTGACCTCTGCCCGTTTCATTTCCTCTCGCTATTGTTGTCAAAAATAGAACGAAAGATTCGACTCAACCGTCTAGTTCCGTACGAGAAGCCAAAATTGAGTAATATGCGATATACCCAAATTTGAGTTAATTGAACTTAATTTTGGGTAGAAAAAATTGAAAATAACTTAGCGATGCACTGTGACTGGCAAGTACCCATTAATGGGTGAAAAAGTACCCATTTCGAAGTAAACTAGGTAAACTCATAAAATGGGTAAAACGTCTTTACCCAATAATGGGTAAAGAGCTTGTACGTCAAATCATCGGGTACTTTTTACCCATTTTCAGAAATGAAAAGATTTAGAAAATGGGTAAAAAGTATACATTTTCGATAATTGAGCTATTTAGAAATTAATTTTAATTTGATTTTTCGCATATTTCATTGAAATGGCGGAAACATTAGCATTAATAACTTGTTTTTTATTTATTTCGATAATAATAACTTGGCATCCACTGTCCCTGCTGTGCAATGTGTTGCTTTTGTCGGACGTTTCTTCTTGTCATCCCTTCCTGGAACACTTTGTTCACGGCCACTTCCTTGTGGATCTGAAATTAACAATAAAAATCATTAAATTTTATCTGAATTTCATAATGTACACCACCTAGATATATTTCAAATAAATACTTACATTTCAATGCTCATTTTATTAGGCGTAGATGGCATAGAAAATCAATTTTTAAGGCCTCGTAATATGCTTTGTGTTAGACAATATTCACTATTGATTAAGATAATTTTCACCCAATAATGGGTAAAATAATACTCATTTTTCTTCCTCGAAGAGGTCAAAAAGATGGGTACAAAAGAACCCATTTTCAAAAATATTCAATTACCCATTATTTGACAGCTTCATATACTTACTAAAAATGGGTACTTTTATACCCATTAATGGGTACTTGCATGTTACAGTGTGGGTAATTTTTTTGCCGTGCTTAGAGCAACCGTAACGGTACGCTGCTAAACTCATTTTAGCAGCCCTCATCATTGCGCAGCTACCGTATCGGGGGTTGCCATACGAGTAACTAAAATAGCAGTCGGCTTCTCGGTGAGAAGTGCGCTACCAAATTTAGCAGCGCGATAGCAGCGCTGGAGAAAAGTTGCTATTCGTAGAAATGTCAAAATGCTCACTACCGGTACGGACAAAGGCGAGTAAATTGATAACCGCGATAGCAGCGACCGGTGTGGAGAAGAGTGACTAAACTAAAATGAGAGCGCTGTGCGCTGTTAAAATAGTCGCGCAAATGACAACGACCGTTACGGTTGCTCTTAAATGCAAACTACTTTGAGCCGGTTTACCCAAATTTGGCTTATCGTACGGAACACAGCAAAAAAAAAATGTAATATCGATCAATGTAATTTAAGCTGATGTATGAAATAATGATGTAATAGCAAAAAGCAGATACAATATTACATCAATGGTTGTAATTTTGTTCGCAAAATCGATGTACATCGTACAACGTTATATTACACAACCGATGGATTGACCTGGTTGCAGCAGTTTGGATGTAATATTCAACAACTTTTTTTTCTGTGAACATGGGAGATGAGTGAAAAGAACTTAATTTTGGGTTGTTTTGAATTTCTGTGAGGAGATGTTGGTACGGTGAATGCCCAGGAAATAGGATAAAATTTGTTTAATGTTGAAAAGTAGAAATCCGGAGAACTTTGAGATTTGGGCGTAATTATTTTTGTAAACATACAAACTATACCAAATGATAAGGGAACCATTCATCTACCTGTTTGGGTTGTTAGTTTTTTAGATTGAGCTTTAATTCGCGAGAAATCGTCAAATGCAGTGTTTGTTTACAAAAGCAATTACGCCCTAATCTCGAAGTTCTCCGGAAATACTCAGAGGGAGAGAAAACAAAATACAATTCGGCGCAGGGATTTGTTTTTTAAATTATCTTGCAATCCTTGCTAGAAGCTAGCATTTCGAATTACTTCAGTGCCAACATTTCAAAGGGGCGTAATTGCTTTTGTAAACAATGACTTTAGCCATCAATTTCTCGCGAATGAAATCTTACCTCTTCAAAATAACAATGCTAGCTGGTAGAGGAAACATTCCTCTACCTACTGGTGTCATTATTTTTCATGAGTGAGCTTTTATTCGCGAGAAATCGATGGCTAAAGCCATTGTTTACAAATGCAATTACGCCCCTTTGAAATGTTGGCACTGACTTGTATTTTTTATTCGAATTACGTGCAAAATAATAATTGATTGCATCGCAATATTTTGCACATTTCATGGTGCCATTCATTAACCGACGTAGATCAATTAATCAATAGAGTTAAAATACTGTTTTTGATTCCAAAAACTATTTGAATTTGAGGAGCACACAAAACATAAAGGTAATTGATTTTCTGTTCGATTGCAATACTCTTAAGTCTCAAATGTACTCTAGTAAGAAAAAGAAATCATCGGAACAATTCTAATGGGAAGTTCCATTGGCTCAGATTTTGACAGTTCATTTGGCTCAAAACATTCTCTCCGCACATCTCTCCCTCTGAGTATTTCTAATGAAAAGGATCCATCGATGCTTTTTATAGTGCATTGGGGTTGATGCATATATTATTTCACGCTCTAGGGGGGGGAGGGGGTCTAAGATTTTGTGACAAGCAATGCATTAGGCATAGGAAAAACGTCACGATAAGGGGGGGGGGGGTAAATTTCTCCTCGATTTAGCGTGACATAATTAATGCATGGGCCCTTGGCGTTGACGGTGACTCTGTAGCTCTTTATTCCTATGAGAAAATCCATAAGAAAACGTCAGACTGTGCGTGAAACATGGCGAACTTTGTACTATCCTTTCACTCAACCGAAAATTCCCATAAGAAACTGTTTATATTTACTGAAAGAGCAAATTTTTCGACGGTGCCGTCATCGCCAATAGACGAGGGCACGAAGGATGGATTTGAGATCACTCACTCGAGAAAAAGAGGCTCAAACTGCGGACAATGTTTACTAATCTATAATTCATTAGTCATGAACATTTATGGTGGTAAGATCCCTTTTATTCTCGGATTAAATCCCGATCAAGAATGTCCGGATGCTCTGATCACAAATCAGCTGAATTGTAAATACACACTTCGGAAAATACACACAAAAATACGTAAATGCATACACGCTGAAACTAAAATACCCTAATAAAAATATTCAAATATACCTCGAAAATACTTTGCATACGAAAAATACATTTAATAATGAATTTAATACACAATAATACAAAAATACACAAAAGCTAAAAATACATAAATACGAAAAAATACAAAATATACCTTTTCAAGTCGGGTAGACGAATCGAAAATACTCAAGTTGACAGCCCCTCGTGTCAACATCAGAGTTAATCAACACGACTCTAAGTAAACCCGCATAAACGATAACCATAAAGAGTGCCTAACAACCTATTCGGGTTATCATCCCAACAATATGTGGTACGGTGGCACGATTTGTGGTATCGTTCATGTATGGTGCTCGTTTATTAGGGAATATTTTGTAGATCATCCATACAGGGTCGGTATTAAAAGTTAATCCGAGTTGGAGCTTACCGCCATCAGTGTTCATGAGTTCTTTATTTGTAAACATTTCCCGCAGCTTGCGCCACTTTTTCTAGAGTGAGTGAACTCTAGACTAACAGTTGAAAAAATAAGCGAGAAAATCGCTTTAGAATTTTGATGACATAAAAATTAATCCTATTTCACGTCTTTCTATTTTCTGCATGATTTTATAAGCTTGACATATAGTTAATAGTGTGATCCATCACCATGCATAACTAAAAACTAAAAAAAAAAACGTTTTTCTTTGTCCCCCCGGGTCTTCCACCCTTTGAACTGCTAGCACTAGTGATACGCCGTGGAAATACACCCGCCTTGGTTCTTCGTTCGCAAATTTTGTGAGAGTGGAATTACGGTTGTTTACACGTGAAATATCAATCGAATGCATTTCACATGAATCGGGCGTGACTAGATACTACAGAATCAGTACTACAGAATCAGTACTACAGAATCAGTACGGCGTAACAATCAGATGCATTATAGAGTTGCAAGTTGGAAATGCGCCATGTAAGAAGAAACGTTTTTGCAAGGGTAGGTCACTCTACACAGTGTGCCAAAATCAAACTTGGGCACACCCGGGTGCAGTCATTGGTGCTGTTTGGCACCCATGGTTACAATTTTTATGATCTTTAAAGTTACTGGCAACACTGAACTTTTACTGCACCTGCGCAGTTTGCATGTGTCAAAATTTGTTATTGATGTTGCCACAATATAATCAAATTATTTTCAAAACACAACCGTGAATCTCAACCAAGTCCCGCCATGTATTCTCACAATCGTTACACCCGTGACGGCAGTCGCGTCCACATTTCCTTCCAGACGAAGAACAGCTGACAGCGGTATCTTGACCAGACCGAGGTTTCTGGCCATGGCTACACGAACAAGCGATGCAGGTCCCACGGCTGCGGCTGCTTCCAATGCTGCTGCTGGTCCGTCTTTTCTGACGAATTTTAAAGGAGAAGGAACAGCAGCAGCAGCATTGGAAGCAGCCGCAGCCGTGGGAGCTGTATCGCTAATTTGTGTAGCCGCGGCCGACGCTGGAAATCTTGGGCCGGTCACGACAAACGGCGCTTGAGTTTTAATCGGAAAGTCAACAACCAAACAAAAACTATACCATCCGATCATTCAAACTGCTCGAATAAATCCATGGCGGTGGCTGCTACACAAACCATTCCATCATCCAACATATAATGTTGGAGGACCGTCTTGGCAAAATCTCAAATAGTTCAACAAATTATTTTTACTCTACTGCCTTTTTGCCTTGCTTTTTGCACTTCCAACTAACAGCTTCATAATGAACGGGAGTTTTGTGCATTTGTGATCGATCGCGCTGTTGCACTTCATGATGGCGTTCACTGCCAGGGCTACGCTCGGGAACTCGACCAATCCGGAGGAGGAACTTTCCAATTTCAGCCGGAACATTCGCACTTGCGACGGGTGGCAGTCCTTGGTGGTGAATGCAGTCAGCAGCAGATCCTCGGACGGCATACGGGTGGAGTATTGATGAAGTGGAGAATGCGATTTTGGCTGGCCTGGGAAGCGATTTTTTTGGAAGCGCTGTAGACCTTGAAGCTGATTGAATTGTACGGGTTGGTGGACTCTGACAAGTAGTTCTGCTTGGAAAATAGGCTGGTCCGTTTCGGGTCAGCGGTGCGTCCTTCATCAGTCCGATGTGTGCTCCGGCCGGTGTTGGTTTCCAGTTTTCCGACGGATGATGCTCGGGCGGTGAAAAATTCGGTTCAAATCCGTTTCCTCCGCCGGCTCCCAGAAGAGTTGGTTGACTAATGATTGACGTTCGTTGTGCGGGGTCGGCCTTCCACCGAAGATGGAAGGATCGTGTAGCAACGGAGCTCGTCCGTTGCAGGCATCCTTGGAGACGGCTGCATCCACTGTGTAGTCCCAACTGGAGTCCGTGTCGTTTTTGAAAACATTGAAAAACAAAACAAAAACAAGAGCTGTTAAAATACCGGGTTGCCAAACAAGGCATTATTCACAAGCAATCAAAAGTCAGTTCAATGACTTCTTGGCACTGCCAGTACAGCTGCGGCACACTGAGGTACACTGAGAAAAAAGTTGGCGCAAAACAAGTGTGTAGAGTGACCACCCCTTGCGTTTTTGATGATTTGAAGTGATATTTTCTTCTACTTTTTCGCGTTTATCGAGTAGTTTGTGAACTGTTCTGTCTATATGTGGCAAAATATGGTTTGTTTACATTTTGGAGTTACGCCCTTTTTAAAATGTTCTAGAACTCAAATCCATCCGTGCACTCACGTACACTGAAGCTTTTTTTTTTAATCTGGTTGCGATAGTAGAAAAGTTGAAATCTATGTACACAACTAAAAATCTGCAAATAAATGAAATTGTTTATTGAGTAGCCCTTGAGTACAGGACAGAAGTGGAAGTGGGAACGAATCAGTGTATTAAAAAGTGTTAGAACATTTTTGTTCACCAAGTGATGCTTGTGAATGCGGGTTTTCTATGGGCACTCACACCATCAAAGCATGCTGCCCATGTAATTTGCAGGTAAAGCTTGCTTTCTACCGTTTGTGTTCACAAAAATAATAAGGAGCCACTTTTGGATCCGAAGTTCCACTTCTGTTCTGTGCCTTGAGTTTTCTACTAACGTAGCAATAACCAGATTTTATTAAAATAGTTTGTTCGCAAAATAAAATCACTTTAAGATTACACTCGTATACCTCACCATTCAAAATCTTGAAATTCTTATCACTTTCATAGTTCTTCCAACCGGTGAACACTCGTGTTTATTTCAGTTACCGTGGGGACGTAATTTGTACAAACTTATTAAGGCCCTTTACACGCGAACCAATAACATCATCGGATAGGGGCAACTATCACCTATCCGAAAGTGGTATTGGTTTGCGTGGGAGGACTTTGGTTAGCGTGTAAAGGGCCTTAGAAAGTTTGTTTACAAATGCTTTTGTGCCGTTATCAAATGTTATGCCTGATTTATTTATGTACGGTCCTTATATTTGAAATGAAGTTCCACATTCATCTACACAGCAAAAAAAGTTGTTGAATATTACATCGAAACTGCTGCAACCAGGTCAATCCATCGGTTGTGTAATATCACATTGTACGATGTACATCGATTTTGCGAACAAAATTACATCCATTGATGTAATATTGTATCTGCTATTTGCTATTACATCATTATTTCATACATCAGCTTGAATTACGTTGATCGATATTACATTTTTTTTTGCTGTGTAGTGATGGTCGATTTTCATTCGAATAATCGATTAACGAACTGAAAAGTAAAATATTTGTAATCGGTTATATCATACCGATATAAGCATTAACTTCTGCAGAGTATCATCACCGATCGTTTCAAACATGTGCTGCACTCTCATTGGTGGAAAAATGACAGCACAGCGAACAAAAAATAATCGATTAATTGACATCACACACAAAGCACACTACTGACATCTGGCTCCGTGTTCGTGGGAAGGGAAGTAAAGCCATTGGTCCCCGGTCCATGAGTTGTCGAATTGATACTCAGTACGGAAAACAAGATCGACGGTAAACAAAAAAGAAAGTGATGATGGTTTTATAATTTGGCACTGTGAGATATAGAGATTTCAGCTTTTCTACCATCGTAGCAGCAACTATATTGAAAAAATGCTTTATTTGCAAAATAAAAGTATTTTAAGATTGCACTCGTACACCTTCCCGTGGAAAATGTTGAAATCATAATCACTTTCATAGTTCAACTTTGATTTTCCAATATAATGGTATCAAAACACAATGTTCACATTTTGGTCCTAGGCCCTTTTCCACTTTTAAGCGATACTTTTTTAAACGGCTCACATCCCACAATGTTTTGAACGCACCTTCCTTCTGTTTTGGATGGTTTGACAGCTCGAGCTGTCATTCCACTTTTGCACAAAAACTCACCCACACATCGAAATTTGCGCGTTCGCCTCCCGTCGACTCGAGTCAAAAATCGGATTTCGGAATCGGTCCTGGCTGGAGTTGTTCTGTTCGCAGTATCACGTTTGCGCTTGGCTTTCCTTTTCGCTATTACCCGTCGGTCGATCCTCCCGTTTGGTAGCCTTGTGTGTACGTTCCGTTCCTAACGTCGGTAGCGAGTTTCCTGTCAATCCCGACTCGGAGGCAGAATCGGTGCTGTGTTATAATTCCGCGATACGACGACGCGTTCCCCACTGTGTGGTCCAGCCGTTCGCTCATTTGCGTTCCAGTAGTGCTTCGGTGCGGTACGGGTTTTCCGCTTGTCAGCGGTCTTTGGTTCGTGTGAGTGTGCTGTGTACCACTTAACTACCTATAATAGTAGTCAGTCTCCTCCTATCAACAGGATAGGCAGAAGAAGCCGTCGATTTGTGTAATTTTTTCGGAAGGAAATTTGCCTGCTGGTGAATTTTATTTATCGGTCGCGGTCTGTGAGGGGGTGATATCTGCGCGGGAAACAATACAATTTCCCATCATTGTTGGAAACAGGAGTGAGCTGGAACAAAACAAGGTTGGTTTCCGTGTTTTGCTGGATGGTGGTGTATGTGTTCCGGAATTTCTGCGGGATATTTTCGGAGGAGGTGTGTTCTGGCTGGCTGGCTGTGCTGGATTTGGATTCCTGCTACGAGAAGGAATGTGCCAAAAATAAGAAGAAACTGTGTGACAGCTGGTCTCGGTCACGGAATTGATTTTTTTTGTAAGCGACGGTGGGGGCCGCGGCAAGAAGTTGGCCTATTTTTCGGAGGCACGAGTGTCGGGAACACAAGGTCGGTTCCACCCATTTTTTTTTTATCAGTGTTGACTTGTGCACACGGAATTGATTTCAATCAACGCTAATCAGCATCGCCGATTGGAGGAATTTCCCTTGCTCAGTTCCCCTAGTTCTCCGCGCGGCGGGAGGCGGTGTAAATTGTTTTCTATGCAAAACAGATTGTGTGAGTGATGGTGCCGAGCTTTAAGTTATGCAGAAAAATTCGCAAGTTGAAAGTGATTTTGTGAGTCATCATCCTCCTTCTGCTGTTGCGAGATAGGAAAGAAGGTTGAATCCCCGGGAAACGAAGAAGCAGCTGATTCTGTGCGACGCCTTCAAGAGTGCCGTGTAATCTGATATTCAGATTGACCGACGAAGTTCGGGCCGTCTTTTCTGTCGCAGCAGGAGTGGGGAAGGGATGTGAAAACGGAGATTGTTTTTTACTTGATGAGGAAGAAGAGATTCGATAAAAAAAAAATTGACAGGATACGATCCACAGGAGGAGTGCTTGTGTGTTCGTGAAAACGAGCGAGCTGAAGAGATTCCAAACAAGTGCCCATTGATGTATTGCTACTGGGTGCTTCATAGTTTAATGGTTCCGTGCACCGTGGAGTGGATAGAGCATAGTCAAGTGGGCAGCCAGCCGCCGGAAATGGACGACGAGCCTCCCCCGAAAATAGACTCCGCAGTTGTTCGGTCTTTGCTACATGGTCGCTACATACATACGTACATGCTATACATGTGTTTGGAGGGAGCGTTTGATTTGTGTTGTTCTGGTGCACTGAAAAAATTGTTTTCTTCCTAAGTGGGATTGGCTAAAATAATATTTAAAAAAGTATGCAAAAATATAAAACCAAAAATAAATGCGACGAGAAGTGCCGAAGCGTTAATGAAATTGCGCTATAGGGTCAATGGTTTTGGTGTCTTCGTCGTACTTAATTCTTGGTTCATAAGGAATATGTGCGCAGAAGACACCAAGACGATAAGCGCATTTTTATTAGCGATTCCGCACTTCTGAGGAGTGCAGTTTAGGGATATCGGTTAATCGTTCGATTAGTTCAAATAATAATCGAATTATTTTGAATCGCACTGCATTATTACGATTAATCAAGAATGTCCAGTTTTATTTTAAATGCATATTATGAAAGTATGTGGTTTAGATGATAATTATGGTTAGGTCTATAAACTGCGTGTGATTTTTGTAGAACATCTTTATACAAATGCTTTGAAATCCTGGCGCTGCAGCATGGTGTCTTCGGTAATCTTTCGGAATATGAAAAGCTTCTTTTGACATTGGCAGCTCAATGATTGGTCCTCCTAGAAGTGAGACTCAATTTTTTTTTTAAATATTATATTCAGCATCGGTGCCTTCAGCAAAGTTTTAGAAAATATCAAAACAAGAAACTTTGCTGAAGGCACAAGGTGTCTACTTCATCATCTCATTGAAGTTTGGATCGTTTTTCGAGGAAACCTACATATTGTTTAGTTGTTTCCTGAACTTTTACGGATAATTTCTAGGTTTATAAGAAGAATGCTATTTTTAAATGAGTTAAAAATATGCTCTTTTTTGGTCAAACAACAACAGTAATTAATGCAAACGTTTTTAAAACATGACAATTAGTTTTAAAGAAACAGTTTTACATTTAAATCTATTAATTGTTGAAGCTTAACACATACTTAATTTTAGTAAATCTAAGATCACACAATATTCAATGTCTTGAAGTTTTATATTACATGAACAAGTTCAAGATATTAAAAATTTCCAAAGTGCCAGAATTAAGATTAAAAAAAGATCTAGGGGAAATGGATGTAATGTCGGCCTAAATGCCCCTAATTTATTTATTTATTTGTCAGCATCAACAGACTCGATATGGTTCCAATGATGGTTTAACTTAAGATTAAAATTAAAGTCATAAGTTTAAACTACAAAACATTAAAACATGATCATTGACTGTTTCCATTTCTGGAGAAGAATGAAGAGAAACGTCTCCGAAGTGTTAGTCGTGACAGGTGAAACTCGGTTAAATACTCGCTGCAGTCCGCCTATTGCACCGTTGATTGCATAGTTTGTCCAACGTAGTGGCATTCTCAGCATAACATTGTTACGAAGCATTCGGGGTTGGACGTTAATGTTTACTTACTCCAAGATTGCCATGCAATCAATTCTACCATGTAACGTGTCCGCGACAAGCAGGGCTTTTGAATTATCTCTTCTGGTGCGAAGAGGCTCCAAGTCGATCAGCTGGCAGTGACTTTCATAGCTGGCCAAATGAAACGGGTCTCTCCAAGGTAACATTTTCAACGCGTATCGCAGAAAGCGGCGTTGAACGGACTCGACTCTCTCAGTACCATTGTTGTATTTCGGACTCCAAACTACAGAACAATATTGTTTATTGTTTATTGTTTTTTTTTACATCAACCTGGATGTAGCCCCAATGATTTTAACCTTATCAACTATGGTAAACAAAAAATACATTCAACCATGGTCATAACATAAAAAACATTAAAACACGTATATCTTATAGTCAATATCTTAACTCCTGCCGGCGAAAAACAGAAGAAAACTTTCGACGAAGCGCATCACGGGAGAGATGAAAGTCGAAAACAGATGCAACTCTGTTGAATGTTCTCTGCAGCCCGCAAATCGCACCGTACGCTCCATAATTAGCATAAGGTTATTACGAAGCGGTCGGGGTTGAACATTCAGGTCAATTTGCCTCAGGATAGCCTCACAATCTGTCCTTCCTTGTAGGATATCGGCCACGGTTAGGGCTCTGTTTGTGTCTCTTCTAGTCCGGAGAAGTTCTAGGTCGATAAGTTGACAACGGCTTTCGTAACTTGGTAATCGAAACGGATCATTCCAAGGCAATCTACGCAACGCAAAACGAAGAAAGCGACGTTGAACAGATTCAATTCTCTCGGCACCGTTGTTGTAGTTTGGGTTCCAAACCGCTGAACAATACTCAAGCGTCGATCGAACAAGCGAACAATAGAGAGAATCCAAGATCACACCCAAGTCTTTCACCTGATTTACGCGTTCGATTGTCGAGCCAAGCAGGTCATAGCTAAATATTATCGGTTGTTGTTTTCGTGAGAACGTAATAGCGGAGCATTTGGCTGGGTTCACTACCATTCTGTTTAACATGCACCAACTAGCGAATACATTCAGTTGACGTTGAAGAAAGTGACAGTCAGCAATGGAGCAGATTCGTAGGAAGATTTTGAGGTCATCTGCATATGATAACCGAGGAGCTTCGATGACCAGATGCACGTCGTTGAAGTACAGTATAAAAATGAACGGTCCCATGTGACTTCCCTGAGGTATACCTGATGTGGCGAAGAAGCTAGCTGATCTGCAATCTCCTATGGCAACTTTTAGTTGCCGACCGGTAAGATATGATCGAAACCAACTCAGAAGATTACCGCATACACCGAGCCTGCCGAGTTTAGCAATCGCAATAGCATGGTTCAACTTGTCGAATGCTGCGGATAGGTCTGAATAAATAACGTCCGTTTGAACCCGATCCGACATGCTTTCGGTTATATACGATGTGAGACACAGCAGATTGGTAGTTGTAGAGCGGCCGACAGTAAACCCATGTTGATCAGCACTCAAATACTGCTTGCAATGGGACAGCAACGTTTCCATAATCACTAACTCGAATAGCTTCGAAACGGCACTTAACGATGTAATTCCTCGATAGTTATCCACAGCTCGTTTCCTTCCTTTTTTGTGGACGGGAAACATGTGCGCAAATTTCCAGCAAGATGGAAATATGCCACCTGAGAGAGACATTCGGAACAGGCGAAGAAGCGGAATTAACAAGCTAGCAATATGTCTCTTCAAAAATACAGATGGAACTCCATCAGATCCAGGATTGAAGGATGACTTGAGCAGAGTCGCGGGCTTAGAAATCATTTCTGCATTAACATCAATTGTACCCAGCGTTTGATCGTTTACTGGAACGTTCCTGGCAGCCAGGTTAATATGGTCGTCAGTAGTTAGTGTCTCATTAGTGAATACACTGACAAACTTTTCGGAAAAAAGGTGGCATATATCCTGAACAGTGACACCAACTTCTCCGTTGAATTCCATAGACGATGGGAGGCCGGATTCCCTGCGTTGCTCGTTCACGTAGTTCCAAAAGGATTTCGGGTGTAGCTTAAGTTTGCGCTGGATGGAAACTTGAAAAGCATTCACGACTGACTCGCTGGTACATGTGATTCAGCCTCACATAATGTAGTTTCAGAGGAAGCGTGCGATACTTCGTAAATCTTCTCAATGCTGCTCTCTTGATTGACTTCAACCTACGTAGCTCTCTCGTCTGCCAGGGAGGGTGAGACACTTTGTGGTGAGTTCTTTTCGGGACGTGTCTGTCAATGACATATGCCAAGACATGTGAAAAGGTTTGCGCTGCAGCCTAAACGTCATCTGGATCAAGGATATTCTCCCATACCATGCTAGACAATACATCTATGATGCTACGGTGGTCAGTTTTACGGAAGTCATAAGAAACCGTAGCAGTATAGTCGCCGAAATCACGCACGAGTTTGTCCTCAACAGTGACAATTAGAGGAGGGTGCTGTGGAACTAGCTTAGTTAGTGCACAAGGAGCCGAGGAAATTGATGGAGCCCTGTCCTGTGTGCTCACGAGAAGCAGAGGTCCAAACTACGACCATTTTCGTTAACTACATGGTTAATTTGAGAAAGCGTCGCTGCGCTGTAGTTGTCGAGAAGGCTAATAGCTCCTGCGTGAAAT